AAGCTATAATTAAATATTTTAAATCTGCTGGTCTTAGCAAGAATATTGTGGAAAATTTTATTTAATGACACTCCGACCGTGTATTAAAGGTTGCTTGATTGAAGTAGTCATTGAAAATTATTGTAGGTATAAATAAAAAAGTAATTCGTCATAACAGGTAAACAACTCTTGCAGTCCTTTGTATATATAGCAGTCTTATTCTCATGAGATTATATGAGAGAGATAAAAATACTTATCACGCTGATGTAAGAAAGTGATAGCTTTAACATTTTTTGTCCTTGTTCACTTTTAATTCACATTTCCCTTTACTATGTGGCAGACATTATGTGCTTAAAGCTCGTTCTACCTTTAAATAGGAATTAATACGACGTGTTTATTATAGAGTAATTAATTAATAAATAAAAAAATTAATGTATGATGTAATTATAGAGTAATTTGTATATTTTAGCGAAGGAAAATTTCTTATCTTTTTTAAATAAAGAAATAAATCTATTATTTATTCTTAAACTCTTTATCTAGTAGTTCATTAAAACTAATTTGAATTACTAAACTGTACTATAGAATAAAACATTGTTTTGACTTTTATCTAATTATTTGTGAGTGTTTATTTTTTCTTAATTTAGTATGTAGTATTTATTAAGAGGTTAAGTAACTGGTTTATAATATTTTACTAGTAAATGTTATTTTATCCACTTTTGAAGCGAAAAGGCAAAAACGAAAATTATAATTTTGTCAGGTCCTTCGTTTATTTGCTTGTAAAGCTATATATTTTATAGTATATTTAAGTAATAATATGGAATAAAAATTATTTCTTTCCATCGATAAAAATTATTGTAGTTCAAAAATAATGTGTAAATATTCTAATTTTACTGTTTCCCTAACAAAACAAATTTTGTTCAAACAAAAAGTTCCGGTATTTGTCCCATTCAGTCCGGTCACAGACCTCATTGACGTGTGCCAGATTTAACCACTTTCGCTGCATCTGCGATACTAAATTAAGTAATAAATGCTATGAGGAAGGAAACGATTAAGCTATACCATTCACAGATGAGCACGATGATGAGCAGGAACGAATGGAAATACAAAAGCTTTATAAAATCCATATCCATAATATTATAAATGCAAAAGTAGCTCTGCCTATCTGTCACGCTTTCACGCCTAAATCACTGAAATTTTAGATATACAGATGGATTAGAGCGTGGAGAAGGACATAGGCTACTTTTCGTCGCAAAAATGAATCTTGAAGGGGTGAAACAGGAGCTGAAAGTGTGTATTGGAAACAAATCATTTCTCAATTTAAGGACAAAAATTCGTTATATTATTATCCAATAATTTTGGTAAGAAATAAATAAATTTTCGGCGTTTTTGACCAATCAAGGTCATCAAATCAATAGGGGATGATTTTAAGTTTTTATAAAAAATATTTTTCAATTTAATCGAACATTGATGTGGTTGGCGTATCGACATCGTACCCGTAAATTAATATTGAAAGGAGTATTTAAAAAGTATTGTAAATCACCACCAAATGGACCTGACAACCCAATAGTCCAAAAGTTCTAAAATCTGTGGGATTCACTTGATAAAAAGTCATATACGATTATGCTAGATGAAGAGAACGTTGAGTTCTAGAAGAACAACAAGTGACAATAGTTACCTACATCAAAAATTTCCTAAAGTTCCAAAAAAACTTAAAAAATTTCCGAAGTCATCCAAGAGAAGATATTTGTACTTTTATACTTATTACAACTGTCACTCCTTTATCTAGGAGGTTGGAATGAAATCGACTTCAGTTTTAGGACCCAGTTAACTTATATCAAGCGAGGTGGATGGCATATGCTCTAAAGAAGGCCCCTTTCACGCAACAGCTAAATATATCTCAACGAGAATTAAAAGGAATGAAACGAGTTGCATATTTTGTTGGCCTAAAATACGCTTTTGGCACTAAGCAACTATTCGTCAATGGGCTCCGAGGAATGATCTCGGTATACTACAGCTTTTGAGCACTTACCCTGATGCCGACGACAAAAAAAGTGTTCTCACAGCTGCTAAGAGATGTACCTATAGTATTTGTCAGAAACAAAAGTAGGATTGACATTTTTAGATGAACGTATTACTTAAGATATCAAAGAAAATATGTTAAAACATTTATAGACTTACTACTTACTGATTTTTACTTAAAAATTTGAAACAATTAGAGAGCAAAAATCTAGCTTTTGAAGGAAAATACCTGAAAATAATTTAAATTGAAAATATCGTCATTTTGTTGAATTTTTAAATTTGATCAATGTGTGCAACCACCAAAATTGTAATCCAATTTTCTTGAAATTTGCCATAGGTAACTTTCATATCACTGAGACACGGGGTCGAGCAAAGTCTGCAAAAAATTACATTTTATTTTTTGCCTAACAAAATGAAATACCCTAATGTACGTATATAGCCTATTCTTTTTCAACCGTTAAGTACGTTTTAACTAGGGACGCACCCTAGCGAAGTGAGGGTAAATCGCTAGAAATATTATAAATGTACAAGAAACTGTCTGTTAGTTTTTAAAGTAATAGATAAAGTGATTTTTTTCTCTATTCAACAACAGTAGTGAACCGGCGTTTACAATTTTTTTTCAAATGAAGTATATAATTAATTTATGTAAGTAAAAGTCAGGATACAATTTATTAAATAAATAATAAATAAATATGTTGGGACCTGAAAACTGCACCATCTAGTTCCATGGTAAGCTACGAGGATTGTGGTATGGATACCAGATGGTTGATAACACTACACATATAACTTTAAAATTTTAATACATACATATTATAAATATAAACACCCATGACTGGAAGTATGAACATTCGTGCTCATCACACAAATTAATGCCCCCAGCGGGACTCGAACCCGCGACTGTTGGCCCAACAAATAGAGTTACTACAAACTGAGCCAAATGTGTCGTCAAATATATTAGATGTGCCTAAATCCAATGAACTGGTGAAACTGGCAGCGAGATAGTGGAAGACATGCTAATTGTGCTGCTTACCTATTTAAAAAGCTATTGATTCAACGTTTACAACATTCAATAAACATACCAGAATTCATTAGCTGAATGCGAATACAGTTTCATTTGTGTTTTTTTTAACATACAAGAAATAACAAATTTGGTAGACATGTATATAACACTAGCATTGCCCGCGGCTCCGTCCGCGTTCAGATGACCAAAAACCAAATTCTTAGGTTTTACATATTAGCATTTACATCACGGAAAAACCACTGGAGAGATTTTGATGAAATTTGGTATGGTGATATCTGGTTATCCGGGTCAACATATAGGATACTTTTTACCTCGGGAAAATATCTCATTTCTGAGAAAAAATACAAAAACTGCAATGTAAGAGTATACTAATATGTAAAACCTAAGAATTTGGTATTTGCTCATCTAACGCGGGCGAAGCCGCGGCCAATGCTAGTGTTATATACATGTCTACCAAATTTGTTATTTCTTGTATGTTAAAAAAAACACAAATGAAACTGTACTCGCATTCAGCTAATAAATTTTATTATTATTATGTATAGATAAAAGAAAAACGCGCTATTATTAAAAATAGCAATTTAAAGTAGGTACCTAGACACTTTATCGTCTACCAACAAAACATAATTAAAGAATAATATTTTTGTATTTGTTACCACAAACACATAGATACATATTGTATGTGTAATGTACACATGGAATTATAAAGTAAATAATAAAGTAGATACGCGTTATAAAAATATTTTTATTTTACAAATTAATCTTATGATAATATAATGATTTATTATTATAAAGATAATAATAAATTACTAAATCTTATAATATTAAATGAGCAATTCTTGTATATTTACATATAAAATTTCGTGTATCTTGAAAATGGATCTGTGTTTAGTTAAGGTTTAGCTTTTGAAGTTTATCTACAAAATTGCTTATCTATAAAGGTGTATTTAAAAAAACTCACTTTTTACATCTTGTCCGAAAAAACAATATGTAACAAAATTTTATGATGAATCATTCTTCTTTTCTTTTATTTATCTTTCATTCCATTATATTCTTACAATTATACCATTCGTCTCCTTTTATTCTTAAAATATCATTTTACTCATTCTTATCTCGCAAATCCTACATATGTATATTTCTGCATCACTGCCCGTCTCTTAACCGTTTTGTAGAGTGGCACTAGTTAAACTATAAGACTTGGTTCACACGGTGATACATCGTATATAATATGTATATAGGTATTTTACAGCATTCAATTATTATAAACATACAAATAACGAGGTGTTCACACGACGTATCGTATTCGACGAACAGTCGTAGTTTTTTTTAAAGCAATCACCTTGAGTAGAGATTAAAGTTTTTCGGTCTGCTTGCTTGACCCGATGAGAAACTAAGATATTATCAACATATTATATTATTATTGATATAGCATATTATTGATTTGAACAAGTGGCTCAATTTATTAATCAAAACAACACAACAAATAAACCACTAATTAAATACATATAAATTTATAATTTGAAATTGTAACATAAAAATACAAATGATATAGACTAATATAAAAGTTTTTATTTTGTCTATATATATAATAAAAATATTTTTGTAACATTTTATTCCATAAATTATACTTAAGATATAAAGTTGTAATAAGCGATAGCTAGGTACTTTTTGTGGAAGCAATGACTATTATTTGCTCTTATGATTAAAAGAAATATCTACATCAATATACTCATAATATTATATGTTAACGTCATAAATGTGAATTAAAAATTTTAATGGAATTATACGACTACATTTAATTAACCGGTCGAGTCAATTTAAATGATCATAAGTATGTATATTTACTTGTGCGTATATACCGTATTTACGCCTTGAGCTTCCAGTTCGTGAGATGAGAGAAGCTAAGCAATACATATAAATTCTTCTCCAAAATTCTTCTTCATTCTTTGTCTAAGTTGATTAAAACTTTCTCTTTCCAGATAAAATGGAGCAAGATCCTGTCAATAAACGTCAAGTGAGTTTTCCAAAACTCTTATATCCCATGTTTAGAGATGTGGACCCAAGGAGTCCCCAACAGTGGATATCAGCAAAACGAATACAAGACGGTGCTGAAGGACTCTGGCGGATTCATGATGATATTTACGATTTGACCGATTTCATTTCCTCCCATCCTGGCGGCACACAGTGGCTTATATTTACCAAGGTAAAAATTTAACAAATCGTTTTAGATAGATTTGATTACTGAAAACTGGGGGATCTTTATTAAGTTTGAAGTTTTATATTTATTTTATTTTTAAACATATTTTCATATTATAAAGTATTGATATATATGTACATTGTTCATATATTCTGTGGATAAAAGTACTTAATCATATATGTATATTGTATATTGCGAATCGCATTTGTTTACTGATCATAACCACAAACTTTAGTTTCTCTTCTTCTTTAGAAGCAATTTAAAAATGTTTTAGTACACTTGTTCGTACACAAAAATAACATTCTATTTTTGAAATCCAATACCAGAATATTATTTGAGACTATTTATGTACATTTATTATTTACTTTACCATTATAAAAAATAATACTTTGACAAGATATGTTATTAATACAAAAAAAAAACAAAAAACATACACTGTATATTTTTATATAATATAATAAAATATATTATATGCATAGTTATTCAAGCTTCGTAAATATATAAAATATAAGAAATATAAATAAAGATCATATTATAATGAGATTCGAAGTGCTAAGGTCACGTTAAAGCATTATTGAGGTTAAAATTGTTGATTGCGGACATAGTAAAACAACTCGTATACATTTTTATAGCTTCAAGAATAAATAAATGTCTATCAGTTTGCTTGCGTTTTTATTAATTATGATCAAGTGTATTTCGATTCAAAAATATCACCAGGTAGATACGTTTACTCCCTACTTGCTATTAGATTAAGACTTTATTATATCTAAATTTGACCTATTCTTTCATTATGCATACTCATTACGTCATTTATAGGTTATTGCCTCTATAGAGCGTGCCTCTAAAACAAACAAATAAACAAACAAACAAACGTAACATAACATTATAATATTATATTAATATATAAATATTATATACCTAGTCATAAAATATATAAAAAGAAAAATAACATCAACATAGTTTACTATTTACGTTTCATTTATAATTCACACACAAATAAAAAAAAACTTTGCATATTCTTCGAAGTTCAATGAGACCCTTTCTGAAAGTTAATACTGAATAGTCAATAAAAATAACCAATTTATTTCACGTACTACAAATATTTACTTTTTCTTTTTCTGTTTTTTATTAGCTATACTTCTAATTGTCCTGTTGATTTGAAACAATATGAGTACACATACTCGTATGAAATTCAGATAATACAATATAGCCGATCTAACCAGGAGGTGGATATTGAAACTCTTTAACCATAATATAAATAAATAAATATGTTGGGACTTTAACACAGAGAACAATCTAGTTTCATGGTAAGCTACGAGACCTGTGTTACGGATACCAGATAGTTGATACACTACACATATATAACTTTATATATATATTATAAGTATAGACACCCATGACTGGAGTACAAGCATTCGTGCTTATCACACAAATGAATGCTCCCAGCGGGACTCGAACCCGCAACTTCAGCAAGTAGGGTCACTACAAACTGAGCCAAACGTGTCGTTAAAACATCATACCATAAAATTTAACAAGATCATTGACTTCCATGAATGACTTTTTGAGAGATCAATCAAGTTCATTTGTAAATTACTCGGTACGTCCTCAAATTCCTTTTTTTTTGCAGAAATAAAAAGTTTAGTTTTTATACGTAATAGAATGTGAAAGTGTATCCACAAGACACTTGTAGGTGATTAAGGGTTAAATGAAGATAATATAAAAATAAAATGTAAATTATTTAATCCAAAATTAAAAAAAAAATTCTTACAAAAAGAGACGCTTCATAGGTTTTGCACACAAGCGCTACCGAGGGTCGGCGCGACCCTATTAAATACATACATGCTCGCTTGAATTCAGCGTGTGCATTAGGTACTGTTTTACAAATTTTGGTACATTTAGATTTTTTATATACAACACCACGGGCCGCAAATAAGGGCCGTGGGTTGCCGACAGCTGGCTTAAAGGATTTTTTTAAAACTCCATCTCTAACGAGATGAAAAAGGTAACATTATCTATCTGATATCTAACTTCAAGGTAAATTAAAACCTACCAAGCCAGATAACTATATAAAGACAAAGTAAAATTATACGATACTAAAATAAGACGTAAAAATAGGAAGTTAACTATGTCATTAATAAACTGTTACACAGTTACGTACTTGCTCTCGAATTGCGAGCATAATGAAAAACCATTTATAGACCCAAGGCTATATTTATGTGCGACTCTACTTTATAATCATAATATTATTCATACTAAGAGCACTTCTTTATTGACATGTAATTTGTTTATAATTTATGATAATTGTCATTGATGATCTTAGTGCTAAAAATTACCACTTGTTTACATTAAACACTAGCAGTATCTACCACATGAATTACCATCAGCAGCTTATATAGAAAGAAAAAGGAGTGGCTGTGTATATGTACATACATAATAAAATGATAATAAAATAATATTAAATCAGTTAAAATGTAAAACTATAATCGAAATATGATTTATGAATCCATAGTTTTATTATTATATATTATTATCAGCTGGATTTTAAAAATTAATACAAAATTTTATGAATTATTTAATAAAAAAGCTAAATGTCACTATGACTAAAGTTCTATATTTATACTTTAAATTGAATAAGAAGTATTTCGTGATGCGACCATAAATTCACAAATAAATCGGCAGCCTGTCAAAAATTTCAGAAATTGTTCTCTTACAAATTTTTTAAGTCTCCGTTTATAATTTTTTTAATGTACAAATGAAAAACTTATATTTTATACTATTGACAATTTTTATTATTTCTTCTCTTGCCATAAATTATGTACCAAATATTTCTAGCATCCAGAAAAGGTAATCCTATAGTTAGCAAAACCGCACAGTATTCATGAACGCCAAGGAACCCGCGAGCCAAATATACTGACGCCAATAAAGCACTAAAAGCTCAGTGTGTAGTGACCCTACTTGCTGTGCCAGCGGTCGCGGGTTCGAGTCCCGCTGGGGCCATTCATTGTGTGATGAGCACGAATGTTTGTACTCCAGTCATGGGTGTTGATATTTATAATATGTATGTATTTAAAGTTTATATATGTGTAGTGTATCAACTATCTGGTATGCATAACACAAGCCTCGTAGCTTACCATGGAACTAGATCGTGCTGTGTTAATGTTCCAAAAAAATCAAATCCTCAGTCCTCTTTAAAATATTTTTGTAATCATTCTCTTTTTGAATTACATACAGCCAGTAATTAATTTAAATGGGAAAAACGATGCTTTGCTTGCTTTACATTTGTACTCTCCTATATATTGATACTACTAGCGGCTCACCCTCGCTTCGCTCAGGTTCGTCGCTAGGTACGTTTTAATTATATATAAATAGTTACTAGCCAGCATTAGCCATGTAAATTTTAATTCTTTTTTTCGTTAATTTTTCATTTTTTCTCTTTATTAAAACCTTCCGTGGACCTTCAGGAACATACGAAAAAACAATTTAGCCGAATTGGTCCAGCCATTCTTGAGTTATGCGCTTACAAACATTCATTTTTATTTATATAGATATGAAGTCTTCTTTTCTCCTTTGTAACAAATCAATCTTCTATACTTAAATAACAGAGTTAAATCAGTATTATTATTATACAAAAAATATTATAAAAATATTTGTATCTTATGAGATTATATGTAGTGTTAAGACACTACACATAACTAGAACTCTTGTGAAACTGTTGCATAGATTTTTATAAAACTGAACATAGTTATTAGTCTATTTTCATTTCTGAAAATAAAAAAATACATCCTAGAAATACGTAATCGAGATAATGAGAAGTAATATACTAAATTGATTAAATTAACTTAGATGTTAATATACTTAATATTAGTCCAATGAAAGGGCAGGAGACGATCTGTTTTGTAGTATAATATTGTGAATATTAAAGATCCACTTAAAAAGAAATAAAATAAAAACAAAGATTTATTTTATCTTCATACTAGATAATATGCATAGTTATAACATTTTCATATTTTTCTTTTTTCTTGCATTCACTTTTTTCAGGGCACAGATATTACGGAGGCCTTCGAAACACATCACGTAAAAAGTGCAACAGCTGAAGGACTGTTGCCCAAATATTTTATTAAAAAGGCAGATACACCCAGAAATTCACCTTTTACGTTTAAAGACGACGGTTTTTACAAGACTTTGAAAACTAAAGTAGCAGATAAACTTAAAGATATACCAAAAGATGTTAGGAAGAAGAGTGATAATGTCACAGATTTTCTATTAGCTTGTTTGTTGATCTCTAGCCCACTTTGTGCTTGGCTTTGGACAAAGAACTTAATATATGGAGCTTCCGCGACGTTGATTCTTAGCATGATACTAAGTGCCCTAACTGTTTGCAGTCACAATTACTTGCATAGGGCAGATAGTTGGCGTATGTATCTGTACAATATAAGTGGATTTTCATATGCGTAAGTTATTTTTTGAATTTTAAACATAGTTTTAGTCAAATTAATTTCTTTCAAGAAATTAATAAACCGTATAAGCCTTAGCCTTTAATATATTTTAACATCTCAGTTAACTTTTGCATCCAACTTTAAGTTTAGCAAATAATCTGTATTGCTCAAACAAACTGTCGTAGTGAGAATCAAATTTATATACTAATTTAACATTTACTATAGATTGTAAGTTGCTAATTTCCATAAGTAATATATTACTTGAATAATACGTTTCAGAGACTGGCGCATATCTCATGCAATGTCTCATCATCTACACACCAATACAGCTAATGATTTAGAATTAAGTATGCTGGAGCCTTTTTTGCAATATCTACCAAAAACAAACAAACCAATTTGGGCACAGATGGCAGCTTTCTTTTACCCTATCGTTTTTGCGTTCATATCTTTAGGATGCATGATAAAAGAGTGAGTAAATATATTTTATACAATAGTGACCATATGTAATATTACATAAAGCACTAGCAGCACCCGCGGCATTGTCCGCGTTCAAACTTTCGATCGCTACCAACCTTCGCGGGATCGTATCTGGGCTAATTATTCCTATGAACATAACATGTACATACAAATACCGATTTTTATATATATAGATTAAGCACCTACGTCAGTCTAAAGAAATTAAATACTTCTAAAATAAAAATCGACTGCGTTGGAAGACCTCTAAAAATCAATATCATTTCTTAGAAATTCAACGAACCATGAAGATTGTTAACTTACGTGTCCTTGTTTAGTGCTCAATGCCTTTTGAAATGTAACACGCTTATTAGTGTTAAATTTACTAAAAATAAAACCTTGCTAGAATTACTTTTATTACTCTTTTACACCTAAATAAATACTAAATATTTAGTATGAATATATAATAATAATAATATAAATATGTCAGGACATTGACACACAACACCTCCTAGTTCGATGGTAAGCTACGAGGCTTGTGTTATGGATATCAGATAGTTGATACATTATACATATATAACTTTAAATACATACATATTATAAATATAAACACCATGATTGGAGTACAAACATTCGTGCTCATCACACAAATGAATGACGACCCCCAGCGGGACTCGAACCCGCGACCGCTGGCGCAGCAAGTAGGGTCACTGCAAACTGAGCCAAACGTGTCATCAAATGTATTAGTTATTATCAAAAGTATTATTATAATATATCTATGTATTTTTTTTTTCATCTATTATATGTATGTATATTTTTTAATTACTTATGAGTCGATCTTATAATATTTTTATGAAATAATCACCAAATCAAAAGAGTACCTATTGTTTGAAGTAATATATGTACGGTTAAAAGTCATTTATTAAGAGACGTGAACTCTAGACACGTAATTAAAACGAAACCTATTTTTAAACAATCTTTTAACTGATGCAATTAAACAAGTCGTAAATTAACTTTATTTATATAACAGAACATGATTATACCTTCAAGGAATTATTTAAAAATATAATTTTATGTACTTATTTTATTTAAAATGTATTTACAGACATTAATAACATAGTTGACTTCGCTGTTTATTCTATGTTAATTTTAGGTGGCATTACGTTTACGATATGTTTACGATTAGTTGATGCTATAATTTCTGAACAATATTGCAATGAATGTTATGTAAACGATTAAAATAAATTTATTATCTAAATTGGGTAAAATAAAAAATTTAAATGATAAGAGGGAAAAACATTTTTAACTTTTCTAGGCTCAGTGCTGGTGCAATAAATTTTGAAGGAAAAGAATTAAGTTGGGAAAATGTGATACCTTTTGTGATGCCAATCTGGATGTGGGCTATAAGTGGACTGTTCCTACCCTGGGTTATCGTCTTATGGCTTGCTATAATAATGACTTCAAGCTTTATTTTCATGGTGTTTGGACTGACAGCTGGACATCACGGCCATACTAACTTTTTTGAAGGAGACATTCCGAGGTATGAATTATAGAACAATTGTTATAACAGTGATGACTATAACTAAAAAGAGAAGCTGGTTCTTGGGTAATTTTCTCGAGTTTGTGGTTCAAACGGAAATAAGCCTTTTAGGATCATTCATGTTTCTCTTTATGCATCCGTCCGATTCCCCGTATTATCTTCTAAATAAGAAAATATTAAAATTTTATTACATAGCGAAAAGAAATGCATTCTAATTGTATAGGGTATCTACGAAATTTATTCTGAAAAATAAAAAATATAGCAACATGTAGGTAATATGTATGTACATGATTAATCAAATAAATTTACATTTTTTACTAAACGAAGCTATTGATATTGAACCCGGGACACCAATAAAAAATCAAAACTGATATGAAAGACTATTGAACTCGGTATATGGGACTCATTATTTATGTACGTAAAGAAAAAATATCACGAAAACCTTAAGTACTTAAATCCTATCCTAATATACCCATTCACCGGTCCGGTGCTCACTTGAGTGACTTGACCAATTTTTGTCATACTTCCGTATGAAAATATTTGCTTTATAATTTGTGCACAACATGAAAATTCATTAAATAAAGAATTGAATTGAATGTTTAGTTAATTCAAAAATGGAGATATCAAGTTTTATATAAAAATGTTGACGTTAATAGAATGCTATAAAAACTGGCCTTTTAAGTTATAAATAAAGCGCTAAATCATTAGTCGTTATCATTATTTGAATCTAAATTAAAAGAAATACATACTACATTAAAAACAACAATTTGTAGAACTGACGTTCATTAAATAATTTACATCCTAACAAAATCTTCTATTTGGAAAAATAATTGTAATTTAAGCTAGGTATTATTTCAAAATGGTCTGCTTAGATATAAATAATCACTATATATCGCACACTTTCAGGGACGAGTTTATAGATTGGGGCATTCATCAACTGGACACTGTAGTTGAGAGGGTCGAGTATGCGGGCGACCACTTCAAATCGCTCACTCGCTTTGGCGATCACGCACTCCACCATCTCTTCCCTACGCTTGACCATGCAGAACTAAAATACCTATATCCAACACTATTAGAACATTGTCAGAAATACGAAATTCAACTGCGCATGACCACGTTTTACAGCGCTCTGATAAGTCATAGCAAGCAATTAATTAGAAAGCGACCACATAATTTTAAAGAGAAAGTGAGTAGTAACCTATTTGCAGCAAATTCATATATGGGAGCCCAATCTTTATTTTTATGCTTTATCTATACAATTATGATAAAATTCTAACTAAGCCAAATCTGTACATTAAATATTTTGTTGAAAATCTTATCAAAATAGACATTATTATCGATACAGAGGCCGAACCTATAGTTTTTAAAATTTTTGTCTGTCTGTCTGTCTGTTACCGAATCACTGAAAAACCACTCTTTATTCTATATATATAATAAAATTCTAAGCCGAATCTGTACATTAAATATTTTTTGGAAAATATTATTGAAATAGACTTTATTATTGATACAGAGGCGCAATCTATAGTTTTTAGAATTTTTGTCTTTCTGTCTGTCTGTTACCGAATCACTGAAAAACCACTGGAGGTATTTTGATGAAATTTGGTATAGTGATAGCTGGTTATCTGGGTCAACATATAGGATACTTTTTACCGCGGGAAAATGTCTCATTTCTGAGAAAAAATACAAAAATTGCAATGTAAGAGTATACTAATATGTAAAACCTAAGAATTTGGTCTGAGGTCATCTGAACGCGGGCGGAACTGCGGGCAATGCTAGTATTATTATATTTATAGCATTTAAAGTATAAGTTAACGTTAAAGCTTTAAAAATTGTAAATATTGTATTAAATTATTAATATGTTGATTAGTTTTTAGTTTCTTAATAGTGCTTTCAATATTATGAATTATTTTCCCAAAAATATTTTACATAGAACATCATTAACTGCGTATAAATCATCATCTTTGAGGTAAACTCATGAGTTACCTCATGTATTATAAAATAATTATATTTTATAAAATCTTATAATTTTCATTTTAGAAATCTGCACGTTGACCACTGAAAAAGGACAGTTTTCAAATAGTCTTCGCAAATAAGTATTACGTTAAAATCGACGAATCGGAGTTAAGAAAAAGTCGCTTAAAAATGAACAATACACAACAATAGTAAAAGAACCTATATACTATTAATTTATTAGCGGTAAGATTATTTTAGGTCCTCATACAATAGTATTGCTCAATTATTATACATAAGTATAAACAACGTTGGTATGCACCAAAAATTAATTATAATCTCTGCTGGCTGTGGGAATAAATATAAAATATAATAATAATTTTAATATAAAATAAATACATACATTTTACATTGTTTTCTTTTATTTATCACATTTTAGTGTATGTAAGAAATGTAAAAAATAGACTGTCGTTTGAAGTTACGCAACAGACGTCTTATTTCATTTCATACTAGTGACTTACCCTCGCTTCACTCGGGTTCGTCCCTAGCTTGAATCCCCATACAACCTTTCATCCCTATTTTCGCCCTCTAAGGGATGATCCTTCCCAGGATCTCAAACTATCTTCTTACCAAATTTCAACTAAATAGGTTCTGTAGATCCAGAGATTTCCCCCTACAACGTCACAAGCTCACAATTCAGAAACTTTACCTCTATATAATATTAGTATAGATTAAATTTCGAGTAATACACTCCACTATTGAGTCTACGATACTAAAATATATGATAGTGTAACTAAAAGCCAAATAAACTAACTTATAACTTTATAAAACTTATTACAGCTTTCGGCCATAGAGCATAGTTTTATTATGTAAATTAACGTCATACAAAGTGGAGAATGGTCTACCACTGTCCACAACACTTTGACATTATTCCTGTGCGGTTACCCGCGACGTAAGATAAGGCCAACATACAAGCAATAGACACTAGCCGAATTTCGGTACACAGCTTTGCTTTCATTTTCGAGTAAATATTATATTGTAAAACAAATATCGAACTAAGTAGTATATAAATTCGAAAACTTGTATTTGTGTATGTGCGTGTGTGTATGTGTTTTACTTCTTAACATTTAAACGGCTGGTCGGATTCAAATGAAATTTAGTACAATATTAGGAACCTAGGGACACACTCGAGAGAGGCGAGGGCTTTTCGCTAGTTACTTTACAAAAGTGATATTTTCCATAAATTCGTAAAAATACATACATACATGAAAATTAGATAATATTTTTGTATTATGTTTATATAAATATTATGCGTCAACTACAAATTAAGGCGTTGATTTGTTCGTTACAGGAGACATTTGTGCGTTACATAAGTATAGGTATGTACTAGCTGTGTTGACTTTGCTTAATCTATCCAAAATGCTAAATAAAGGAAAAATAAAACTCAAAAACGTTTACTGAAACTATACTAATATTAATTTACTTTTGCCATTTTATTGAAACAATTTTCTAGTATCGATAAAACGTTTCATTTTTTAATAAATGCAGTTATAATTAATAATATGTGTATCAATCCAACTCTGCGCGTCTTTGACTAACCATTAAATGTTGGTAATCTTACATATAAATGAGAAACACTGTTTAATAAAATAGATGCATTGATTAGTACACAAACATCGCAAATACTAATAAAGCCACAGTGATAAGTATTAATTACTATTTATATAATCATAAAATGTATAAAATCATGTAAATACGTTGCTTCCTTAGTTTTATAAGAGAAGGGTAAAACTATAGATTAAGAAAGTCACATTTTACACGCGGCTTCATGGCTCGCTTGATGAGATAAAACTTAGCCTATAATTCTCATGATGTCCCAAATGTGCACTCAAATTATCGTGCTTGGTCTCATTAACTTCGGCAAGCCGAAGCTCAAGTTGCGAAACGAAGGAATTTATTGGAACTGTGCCATGCGGGTTGCTGCTGATACTTCTCTGATGGCAGAGTACCGTGGGAGCAACCCCTTGGTTGTGTAGTCTGCTTCGGCAGGCCTGCCGATGGGGTGTTGCGGTTGAGTGATTATGTGATCCTGCGACGCCCCATTAAAGCGGGGGAGGTTCCGTTGAGTTTTAGTGAGTAGTATTGGCTTCTCTAGCCGGTAAGTTCCACATCACCCATCTGTATGTATGGAGGTGGTATGCGTAAATGCATTTCTCAACATAAAAATTCTTTATTCTTGACAAATCTGTCGAAATCTATTCATCATACAGCTAAGGCAAAGAAAGGTAACAAGAAAACAGACATAGTGTCACCACTAACAATATTTGTAGGGAATATTAAAATAAGAATAGTATTTATATGACATTAACTAAGATAACAAAGAAAATTCGTTATATTCATAGAAAAATATGTAATACTATTATTAAATACTTTTCTAAAAAGCCGCAAGCAAGGTGACTCAGTTTGCAGAAAGAAACCTCATATCGCCTTCCCTCATAGTAAAGTGTCCATAAACACATGTACATACTAACATAGGTTCAATACTTATGGTACATGTACAGTATAAAAGCATACTTACATGTCGTTTCATGGTGTTCTTTAAACATGAGTTATGACTGTGTTGATGCCGTAAATCATTAAAATATATATAGATACGTACGACTAAAAAATCACATCGTTTCATTTACACTGTCGTATTTTTTATTAAAAAACCGATATTAAAAATTCCGCGTATGTACTAGTAATACTTAGAATGTAGGTATTACAGAAAAATAATATCTTTAAAATTTAAAAAGCTCAAGATTACAAGAAGAAGTCCACAATCTGAATAAACTAGCAAGCTTTTTGTAGCAAGTAAGAAACTAGACGATTCTTTATTGATTGAGATTTTATGCGAACCGCAATATAAAAAACCAATTTTGATTATTTGCTCCCAATACTCACACAGCCAACTACTATTCGTTTCATGGCAACTTCCAACCCTTTTGTTGGTATTTATCCTATTTGAAATAGTCGCTTAGAAACGGTGCTACCCGTAACTTTACTGTGTGTTACACTTTCTTTATTCGTTATATTATTATTTAGTTATATTCAATAACTTCTTTACACTTTAAACTCAATATTCTCGATAAATTGTTGTTTTAACTTAACACTTGACTTATATTTATTTTATTTATTAAATAAATAAATTTTCAAAACGGCTTATATGTATGTCTATGACGGCTTAAATGGATATTTACATTACAATTTCATTTTATGTTTTTTTTTTTAATTTACTTCATTGTATTATAAAAAAAATATAAAAGCCTACATATTTTTATGGAAAATAATACGAAAATAATTATTACACTAGAAGAGGAGAACGAGAAAAGAAAAGTCACTGTGTTGTCTATATAAGATGAGAGCGTGAAAATGAAATCGAAAGGATTTAATTATGCAAAAGCTAAAAAGCTGATACATGAATTTGTTCTGCACTCATGTTAATGTCTACGTTTATGGCACAGAACAATGTATATCCGTTTAGAACATGCGAAAACATAAAGCGCATCTGTGATAATCCCACGCGTAATACATAATGAGAAGCCACAGCGACGACGATAACGCACTAATATAAATCTCTTTAATGTGTCACAAAGACCGCTTCCATACAACGCCAAATACCACAAACTATCCAATAATTAAACGGTGGTAATAATATTATATGCATATTTAGATAAAAAACCAAACAGTAATGGTGTGGAATTTTCATAATGATTACACTAGTCAATCAGTTCCTGTTGTCTGATTTCGACCAGTCATGTCAGTAATCTGTCATATCAGTCATGGACGTGATCTTAGCTAATATTTAGATCGTTAGTGTTCTGTGAGAGAAGAGAAAGAAGAAGAAGAAGTGTTACGAATATTTCACTTTATTGTAGGGGAGCCCAAGGAAGATTTCTGGAGTTACTCAAGCGCGGCAGATTAACAATCAATAATTATAATCTGCCGATTTCCACAAGCCGAAGAGGCAAAAATCGTATATAAACTTTTTAGTCAATTTTTGCCTTCTCGGCATGTGAAAATCGGCAGATTATTAAAGGTACACTTTTCAGGATGTAATTAGCCCAGCTTAATCTGAAGGTTTCAAGTTTTTCTAGCTTATCAAAATATTTAGAAAATATATCGGCTGCCTGCTTGAGAGGTACTCAAGAGAATGCAAGGTATCCGACCTTATGTTGATCTGCCGCGTTTGAGTAACTCCAAAAATCCTCTCTTGGGCTCCACTACTATTCTTTACGTCTATGTGATTTTTATATTATGACTAGCGGCTCACCCTCGCTTCGCTCGGGTTCGTCGCTAGGTACGTTTTAAATAGATATAAAAAGAAAAAATCTTTCTTTCTCACATTTTAATTATATGTTTTAATACTTACCTATTCCGGACTAAGAGAAATCCAAAAATTAAAATATCATAAAAATTGGAACGCGGTCGAACGGGATAAAAAGTATCCTATGTCCTTCTCCTGGCTCTAAACTACCTCCCTGCCAATTTTCAGCTAAATCGGTTCAGCCGTTCTTGAGTTATAAGCGAAGTAACTAACACGACTTTCTTTTATATATATAGATAAATTTTATAGTATTGTCTTTTCGAATTATTTCTATTATGTGTTGAAAGAAGGAATTAATAGAAATATATAGTATTGTATATTTCTATTAATTCCTTCTTTCAACATACATAAAGAGGACTGGAGGTCTCTAAATTAATTTTGGTAATCACGTGTGATCATGCGGCAATGAAAAATAAAAATCAACAGGTCTGTTGGGGGCTTTAATCGCGAGTGAGGTGAGTATACTCGTACATAAAAGATCATGTATAGCGAAGCGCCTGATTATTTTTAAAGGCAATGACTTTTCATAGAAAAATTGCTTATAACTATCCTAATCTAAATTATGAAAGCATAAACAATACACCTATTAGAAATTATATAGATCTGACTATATAGAACTTATTGAACCGTTATGAGTGGATATTATGTATCCCTTTATAACATCTCACCTCTGGGCACGAGACTTCCTTCAATAAGAGAGGAATCTCAAATCTGGTAAGTACGGGTTGGCGGA